ATGCATTTTGTTGATGTCGGATACTTCTGTAATATCCACAAGATAAATAACTGCAAGATTTTTAACCTTTCCAGTTATACTGTATAGAACCTCATCCATATTCATACAAGTATTGTTCGAATCATGTCCAAACCAAATGATGGCAGCTCGATCTTTCTTTGAAAGGATGACCTAATCTACCTGCCAGCCATTTGAGTAGGTGTGGGAACATGTATGACAACTTGGAGGCTTAACTGGATATCTCTAGGCATGGATGGAGTCTTAGAATACTATCACTGGGTAGGATTCAAGCTTGTTTTAGAGAGAAAATTCTATTGGGTATAATCTTTACATATTATTGGCTCTTGGTAAAGCATCTACAATGATGATGAACAATGTTCTCCTCTCTCAGAATCTAAACTTATTTGTCACTGAAAGAATACTTTATTTGTAGAAGATAGTAAAAATAATACAGCTGGGCATGGTTGCTCTCGCCTGTAACCCTAGCACTCTGGGAGGCTGAGGTGGGTGGATTGTTTGCGCTCAAGAGTTTGAGACCAGACTGAGCAAGAGCGAGACCCCGTCTCTACTAAAAATAGAAATAAATTAGTTGGACAACTAAAAATATATAGAAAAAATTAGCTGGGCATGGTGGCGCATGCCTGTAGTCCCAGCTACTCAGGAGGCTGAGGCAGGAGGATCGCTTGAGCCCAGGAGTTTGAGGTTGCTGTGAGCTAGGCTGACGCCACAGCACTCTAGCCCAGGCAACAGAGTGAGACTCTGTCTCAAAAAAAAAAAAAATAATAATACAAACTCAAGTCTAGGTCTCCTTGAGGAGTTTACGGAGCAACGGTGTGTCATGTGTCATACAACCTCATTCTTTCTTTCTATTCCCATCAGAGTTTTGTCCAGTGAGAACTGTCTCCAGAAGAATGGGCAAGGTTTTTTCTCTGGGAATAAGGCCTAAAATTCCATTTTCCTGTATCTCTCATTATGGAGTAAACATAGTCAATACCAGGGGTCCTCAAACTTTTTAAACAGGGGGCCAGTTCACTGTCCCTCAGACCGTTGGAGGGCCGGACTATAGTTTAAAAAAAACTATGAACAACTTCCTATGCACACTGCACATATTTTATTTTGAAGTAAAAAAACAAACGGGCAAAAACACCCGCATGTGGCCCGCAGGCCGTAGTTTGAGGACGCCTAGTCAATACAGTGGAGATAGCATAATGAGGGACTTGACTTTTCCTTTTACACTTTACAGGCTCTACACTTGGCTGCTAAGGATATTTTAATTTAGGGGAAAATAAGGAAGCAGAAAGCAGTATTCAACAAGTATCCCTTAATGGGTCCATTTTTGGATTCATCTGGGATGACTGGGGCAGAACAATACTCTTTAACCAGAAGGCCTGACTATTTTAGGTACCCTTCTTCATGTGAAAACTAAAATTAGCCTTATTTGACCAGCTTGGCAAAGCAAATATCCTTGCAGGAAACATAGCTGTCAGCCAGAGGGGACCTCCTGATCTTCCATCATTGTGGATTAACTTTATTGAATAGCAGCTGTACAAAACGCCATGGTAGTTGAAAGGGAGCTCCACACCAAACCCCAGAGATGTTCTGTCTTTACTCCCCACTCAATGAATATAATAATTATGCCAGGCATTGCCTCATGACAAGTGTGTGTCCAAGAGACTCGACATCCATGACAGTAAAGATTTGAACTCTCTGGGGAAAGTCAAGGAGGCTTATGTATCATTTGTTTTTCATCAATTCCAAAAGCCTTTTCTCTTGTCACAGACAGGCCAGATGAGTCAGGACAAAGAAAGATCTGCTGTCTTAGTAAGAAGCTTCCTGGGGGGCAAAAAAGTAGATGAATTACTGAGACATCAATGGGTGACTTCAGGGATCAGCTCCATGAGGCTTATTTGCTGCCTTTTCCATTTTAAGGAATCTTGGGGGTGGGCTAAGGAGAGGATTAGGGAGATGTTTTAACTCATTTAGTTAAAACATAACATCATTAAAGATAGCAGGCACCCTGTCCTACAGATCTTGGCGAGAAGCATAGGCAGCATTGGAGTGTGGTGCCAACCTTCAATTTCAGTGGAAATTCACACCAGATTTATAATGAGCAGCTGTTAGCACGTCAGACACATAGTGTTATCACCTGCCACAGTCCAGTGTTTCCCCAGGAAAAAATTTCACTTCTGCATTCATTGTCTTTTACTATTGTTAAGCATAAAGATAATTCTATTTTTTTGGTGAGCTGTATATCATATGTGAACTTGAAACAATAATAATAGCTGAGTTAATGGAGGGATTACTGTGACCCAGACATCATTCTAAGACTTTACATGTATTAACTTGTTAATTCTTATAACAACTCTATAACATCGGTGCTATTATTATCTCCATTTTACAGATGAAGAAACTGAGGCATCAAGAGTTTAAGTAATTTGCAAAGGTCATGCAGCTAGTTAATTGCAGACGGGGATTTGAATTTAGGCAATCTGGATCCAGAACCCATGTTCTAATCCCATGGTAAACTGCCTTCCTAAAATAATACAGAGGAGAAAAACCAGTTCACACATAACTCAAGTGATTTTATACATCGTTTTACAAAGTATGCCTTAGCCCAATGTTATTGCCCCATGTACTTTAAGATAAGAAGGGAACTATTGAACTAATTATCAGCATTTCTAAGACCAGGTTTCCAAAGAGTAACTTTCCCTTGAGCATAGCAACAGGTAAGATCACAGAATCACAGGCTGAAGGGCACTCTAAAGAAGCCATTTCTTTACAGTCCTTAAGACAATAAAATATAATGAAAGGGGGCTAGAGGTAGAAATTAAAACCACTATTGAGGTTTTAAATGTTTGGGTTGGAACTGGATGAGCAGAACACTCATCAGAGTTGACAGTGGCTATATAGCACCCAAATACTTTCAATTTAAGTGGGAGCTTAGGAACCATTTGAAGGAAGTATGCTAGTACTTTCTTTATGTCAAAGAGCATATAGTACTACTAACAGTAATAATAACAACAGTTAACCTTTATTGAGTGTTTATTATATGCCAAGCCTTATGCTGAGTATATTATTTTATCTTTACAGCAATCCTATAAGGTAGATATTATAATTATCCCCATTTTACAGATGAGGAAACTGAGGAACAGAGAGGTCAAGTAACTTGCTCAAGGTCACTTAGTTAGCAAGAGGCAGGGCATGGACTTAAACCCAAGCAGTTTGACTTCAAGGCTTGTGTTGTTAAACACTAAACAAGATACTATCTCTGTAAAAGCAGCCCTCTGAACCACAGTTAAGAAAACCCATCCCTATTTTCTACCTCTATTATTGACCCCAGCTCAAACTTTGGGCCTGTAATGATTGCTCAGAAGCATTTTTGTTTACAATGCTAGGCCATTTCTGCTCCTTGTTATAGACAGGTGGCTAAGTACTGAAGATTACTTTGTGAGTATAGATTTATGTTTACATGTGGTAATTTACAAATAATATGTTATCAGTTAACATTTAGTTCCCTTGGCCTCAGAGCAAATGTGGCCTCAAGATTTTTCCAGGGACATCTACCCATATGGTCAAGACTGCCAAAAACTGGGAATATTTAAGCTAAATCAGATTGTCTTATCGCCTTAGACTAGAAGCAATTGTGACTCAGGACCACTCCATATGGAGCTATAAAATAATATAATGAATTCTATTATAATGAAATAATAAACAGTAAATAAAAAGTCATTATTTACATTAGAAATGTCTATGAGAAGCATATTAATTATTTTTAAAGTATCTTAATAGCTAACATTTTTGAGCACCTACTATGTGCCAGGCATTGTGCTAACCATGATTTAATTCTCATAACAACCCTAGCAATTAGGTATTATTAATGTGACTTTGTGGATGAAGAAATTGAGTCTCAGAAGATATATAACTGCCTGAGATCAAACAGTGAAAAAAACTGGCTTGGAAGCCTAACCTTCTTCACCTTCATTATAACCTATATGTATTTAAAATCTAGGCTGGAATTGTGAAATTTATTTTTTGGTGGGGAGGGAATGGCTAACTATATAAACAAATGGCATGGCAAAGTGGCATCACTCTAGATCTGTTTCTCACCTTCAATGTGCCTGTGAATCACCCGGGAGTCTTTGCTAAAATGTAGCTTTTGATTCAGTAAGTTTGGTCTGGGGCCTGTTGTTCTGGGATTCTAAATAGTTCCCAGGTATGCAGAGTACACTCTGAGTAGCAAGGTTCCAGACTGGCACGGTCCTGTTGTGCTTTTAAGTAGGATCGCAATTAAATGAATCTGGGCAGATTAATGTTTAGGCTGTTTAAAAAGCCACCTCAGGCTTCCTGAGATGGCAATTCCTTAATGTCTTCACAAACCCACTGCAATGGTTAAATAGCTCTGACTGTCAAGAAACATTTCAGTGCCTAAACTTCTGTGATGTTTCTCTTCTGATTTTATCTTTAGTGGAGATGGAGGTACTCCACCAGACCCATTCGCTTACGGGTCACTCTGTTTTAATATATATGTATGTATATGTGTGTGTGTATGTAAATATATGCTTATTTACACACAGTTATTCAATGTTAAAAATAGTCTTTGGGCTATCCGTCATCATCTCCTTTCTTATCCTTTATGAATCTGAGATTTTAGAGATGTCTAAGTCAGTTCTCTTTCCATCTCCATGTTTATTTGCCTCCTCTATGAAACCTATAAAATTAGACAAGCTTGCAGTTCCTTGCCAGAATTCCACTTCAATGAGATGTTTAAATGTTCAATGACCCTATCTTGCATCAGGTATACCCCAAGCTTGTCCAAAGTGCAATAGGGAGTATACTAGTAACTACTGGCCACCCAAGCTATAAAGCTCATATTACAAAAATACACACTCTAGGCAGAGTCTGGTAAATGTCAACTTCAAAATAAGTTGTGTCATACTGTTATATTTATTACCACATGGTCTATAAAAGAAGCACTTGTGAGGTGATTAAAAATAACATACCAGGTAAAATTGGTTGTCCGGCAATTCCCAGCGGTGCCATTCCAAGATTATTCATTGCTGTGGCCCATGCAGTTGGATCAGACATAGGTAGTGTCATTGCAGTGGAATCCACATTCAGAGTTCTATTACTATCAGCTGAAATGAAAGGACAAGCAAAATAATTTTGTTTGTGCTAAGGTTCTAGTATCTAGTTTACATATCAACATAAATTCTGGCAAGCTCTTTACAAAAATGGCTTGATAGACAAGTGGTAGATAAGACCTCAATGCCTGCGTTCTTACAAGGGTTAAAATAATACAGCTTGAACTGGAAGTAAGTCATGGAATTTGAAAGCAATTTACCAGATGGCATTTTAGTGTAAGTGTTTCCCTCTCTCCCTCTCTGTCTCGCTCTCTCTCTTCCTCCCTCCTTCCCTTCCTTCCTTCCTTCCTTCTCTCCTTCATATTTTCCAAGTATATACACCACAGGAGCTTGGGATGATTAAGAAGTTTCCTATTCTTCTCATAGTGTACGAGTATGTGATTACTTTAGCAGCTTCCATCCAAACTACTTATGCATGCAAACCAAAGGAAAACATCCTAGGGCTTCCGTAGTTGGCAATAAAATGTGAAAATTATACTCCTGATATAATTTCATGTCCTTGAGGCAGTATTATTAAATAGAGCTGGACACACAATCATAGACATCAAATTAGCCAAATGAGTATTTTGGGGATTAACACCAGAGAAAAAACAGGCGGGAGTTATGGCCCCATCTTCAAAGGTTGTATGATCTAGTTGAAGAGATTGATGATGACGGTGATGATTATTACCATTATCACTACTTTTACCACCTCCACCCACCACTACCACTAATTGTTGAACAATTATCATACACCAGGTCATATCCACTTAGCAAAGATTTATTCTTATTGAACTTTCAGAACAACCCTATGAGGTAGGGACTATTTATTAATATCTCCATTTAATAAGTGAGAAGTTTTGAAAGGTCACATATATTGTCCAAGGTTGTTTTTGGCCACTATGCCTTACTATGTTCAATTAGATAATTAGGGAACAATGAAAGACTTGAAGGGTATAGACCAGAAATGTCACTAAAATTTAAGGAATGAAGTGCTACTGTGGCCTGAGTAGGTAGGAAATACTTTATGGAGAAGATAGGGCTTTAAAGAATGGACCAGATTTCTACGGAGCATGTCTTGAGTGATAGGTAGTTTTAGATATGTAGAGAAGAGGAGGGAAGGAAGACATTCCAGGAGCAGGAATGACAAGCAAAGGCACTGAAGTGAGTTATTTAGGCATATGCATGTACATACTATTGGGAGAGATATAAGTCACACCTGAGCACAAAATACTTTTATTTTGGGAAATTTTCCTCTGAATACTGATAGCCACAGAAAAAACTTTCCATGGCTTTTCTCCTACCTCCCTGTATGCACTTCTACCAATTATACCCCTAAAGGCAACTCTGTTCTAATAGGAGTTTGCTAAAGTCCAAGGCAACATCAAGGATGATCTTGGCCAGGTTATTTATACATGTGCTATTTTGGTCACTGATTGGTCAGAACAAGCAAATGCAAGTGTCCAACAACATTATTTGTGAAATAATAGTTTTTCATTCTTCTGTGAGGTCTCTGCCTCCTCCACCATGAACCCCCCCCACATACACACACACACACACACACACACACACACACACAGACAGACACAGAGGGATTGGTGGTGTTAAGCATTCATTTACTGCAGTCAGAAGTCACTATTCAGAAGTGGTGACTTCTCCATCTGTAGGAACTCTAGTCCTCATATCCAGCTTTCAGTGCTCTCTCACAAAGGTACATCCAAAGTTAGAAATAACCTTCTTGTAAATATTATCAAGAAAAAAAAAAACATAGGGCACCAAATATCCTTTGGGTCAAGAGTTTACATAGTGATAATAAGGTCCACGTGAATTCCCAAACTCCATAGCTAGGAGAGACAAGACTTCTGGGAATATTATAGGTGGAAGGGACCTTTAGAGATTATAGAGTCTGCACCTTGATTTTCTCTGGTGACTGAAGAATGACTCCCAGAATGACAGGTAGTTTTAAAAGGACTGGGCCCCAATGCCAAAAATAATTTCTTGTAACTGTTTGGCTACTCATTGGCTCTGCAGTCTTAAATTCTTAAGACGTTCTGCCTTAAATGTCCTTTTCATTTCCCCCTCCAATCCCCCAACACTCATCTCCACCTGTCAAATCCTACTCATTTTTCAAGGGTCATATCAAATGCCACCTTGTCTGTGAAACCACCTTACTGGAATTAATTACTCCTTACTATGTGTTCTCATAACATTTTATCTAGAATTTTATTTTCATATGTTTGCTTATGCTCTCACTCCTTTCCACCAAACTAAACTTTTTTGGGTCTTAATACATACCTGATTGTGTGATAGTAACTAGTAATACAGAGATGAACAAAACCCATTTACTTCTCTGAAAGAACTTGAAACATAATGAGAGGCACAGACATATAAACAACCAAATATATATTATTGTAATAAGTACTGTAATAAAACTTGAGTAAAGTGCTATGGGAACACGAAGGAGTAATTAAAGCTGCTGGAATGAGTTTGGGTGTATATGTTTGAGGTTACGGGTGGAGGAGATAAGGAATATCAAAGAAGCCTTCACTGGTAAAGAATCATTTGAAATGAGTCATTAAAGAGGGATGGGATTTCCTTCCAGGTAGTGAATGGAGGATTAGGGTAGAAGAACATCCCAGAAAGCAAGAACAACTGAGCATTTACTATTAACTGCCTTGAATTATAGTTATTGGGTACATATGTCTCTTCTGCTAGACTGCATGCCTTTTTTAGGTAAGGAAGTGGGTTTGAGGCATCTTTGTCTCCTCATTTCTTGGTTTAGTGTCTGGTAAAAAGTAGGTATTCAACAAATATTTGAATTAATAAATAAAGAAAATTAACTTACATTGATTTGGGGTACAATAAACAATCCATTAAATGGCATTCATTGATTATTTGTACACTTTTTCAGAATGATAAATTGTCTTAAAAGAGATGGATGGCCTTGTTGCTAAGCTAATTCTTTCTCTAGGACAACTGAATACATGTAGAAATTTGCTTAGTTATTCATGCAACCAGGGATAGATATATCCAACTAATAATTCAGTTTGATCTCATTACCTATAATCTTTTTTCCATATAGGCATAATGATACATATAAGCAAAACTTATAAAATTTTACTTTCAAAGAGAAACCCCAGATGATCATCTCTGGCAGTAATCTGGATTTAAGGTCCACATTAACAAAACATGCTGTGCTAAACATCTGTTTGGAATCATCACTTAGTGGCAGAAAAGTTGAGTCCTGGCCTGATTCACTTTCCAGACTAGAAATGGACATCTAACAGTTTATTTAAGTGTTTTATCAGAGTAGTCCCGCATCCCTAAAGGAGGACATCGCTCATTTTCCCACGAATCCTACAACCATTGGCAGTGGCCAAGAATATTCAGAAGGCAAGTGCTAGCAGTTTTCAAATGGGTTTCAAAATGCCTACCCCAACTCTGAAAAACATGCCCTGCCATGCTGGCTCTCCTATTCTACTGTGTGACAACTCCTTAAGAAATCAGATGTTGCAGAATGTTTTTGAATAAGTGCCTTCTAAGTAATTTGACTGATGATAGAGCACTTTGGAATATGAGTTCATTAGCACCAAAAGAATAAAAGATTTAGAAGTGATCATCCACTCTAACTTGGTATCACTCCATAACTATCAAATCACTGCCATCTGTTTATTTTTGTATTGTTTATGCATCACTGATTAATTTGTCAATTACTGTCAAAGCTATTTGATATTGAAGACTACACACACATACATACACACACACACACATGTTATGTGATATACCCATCCAGTAGTAGAGTTAATTATTTCAAAGATTTCCTTTATTTCCTCTAAAACAAGAATAGTATGTGGTGCCATCTCTTCAACTACATTCTTTTATTAAGACAAAAACTCTACTTCTCCGATGATTTACTCTTTTATAATTCTCTTTATTATGTCCAGGTGTATATACATTGGTTTTTATGCTTACTGTAATTTTGTTATGCAGTATTGTGCAAAGTTGAGGAGAGGATTTTTTCAACAAACATCTATTGAAATCCTGTTAAGAGTAGGAAGCAATCCTGCCTAGTGATCAAAAGCATTGATTTGGGAGTCAGATGGCTCTGGAATACAGTCTAGCTGTACTACTCAGTAACTGTAACATACTCATTCTTTTTTGTTCTTTTCTCTTCTTACCTGCCTGCCTTCCAGTCTTCCTTTCATATTTACTATATAATCATAGAACATTTTCTATGCATCAGGCAGTATTTTAGATGTTGGGGACATTATGGTGAGTTAAACAGACCTCATCCTTTGTCCTATGGAGCTTACACTCTAGAGCAGGAGACAGACATTAAAATACAAATGAACAGTTATAAAATAATTACACATTGTAACAAGTGTTATGAGGAAAGAACTGGGTTTGATAAGAAAAGTGGCAAGCTACAAAATTAGGAAAATGATAGTATCTACCTTAAAGGTTTTTTGAATATTAAATTGGATAGTGTGGGTAAAGAATTTAGCATGGCTTTTGGCTCTAAGCATTTGGTAAATGGTAATAACAACATGGTAACAGTTATGATAATGACAATGAAGTGGTCCCAGCCCTTGAGGAGCTCAAAGTCTACTGAGAAAACCAAGCATATACATGAATTTTTAGAATACATTATATGGATAATGAAACTGAGGCAAAGAGAATTTAAGTAATCAGCTCAGTATCACATAGCTAATAAGTGGCAGAGTAAAGTAAGGATATAAACCCAGGCAGCTCTGATGCCAATGTTCACAGTCTTACCACACTAAAGTTCCTTCCAAAGAGTCCTTTTAATTTTCTGTGTTCACCTAGCTCACTAAACACACTGCTATCATAGACCTTACCATATTATATTTTTCTCACCTCTTTCTATGTCTGTCTCTCCCCCTAGACTCTGATATCTTACTCCTCATTGTTATTCTTAGTGCCTTAGATAACCACGTCTGACATAGAAGAGATGTTCAATAAACTATTTTAAACAAACGAATGAGAAAATATAT